GAAGATGGAAATGAGAAGTGGCAAATCAAACTACAGCTTAGCAGAATTGATGGCAGCAATACAAGAACAGCAAAAGAAACAAGAAGAACTACAAAATAAACAACAAGAGAGATTACAGCAGTGGTTGGAGGAGAACGAAAAGAAACAAGAAGAATGAGAAAAGAAACAATAAGAGAGACGTAACAAATTGGTGTCATCAAGCTGAAGTCAAAGTGACTGAAGGAGTTAATGATGATGAAGTGGAACCAGGTATAGATATTAAAGCAGAGCAAGACCAAGATTTGAAGTCAATAATTGATTTTCTAAAAGCAAGTGTTTTGCGCCCTGCTTGGGAGAAGGTATCTAGCTTAAGCCCTGTGAAAAGAACTATTGGGTAAAATGGGACCAATTGAAGCTTGAAGATGGTATTCTTGTTCGGAGATGGGAAAGTGACGACCTGGCAAACACTTATACCGAGAAAGTTACAGGAAGTTGTGTTGCGTCAATTCCATGATAGATTAACAGGAGGACATTTCCAAGTTAAGAATACATTGAGTCACCTACGACAGAGATTTTACTGGATAGGTATGAGGCAAATTGTGGAATAATGGTGCAGGACCTGCAGTACATGTTGTGCTAAAAGGGGACCTAAGCATAAGGGACATGCTCCAATGAAGTTATATCAAGTTGGTGCCCCAATGGAAAGAGTAGTCGTTGACATTGCTGGTCCTTTGCCTCAAACTAGTGCTGGAAACAAGTACATTTGTGTGGTGATGGATTATTTCACCAAGTGGCCTGTGACATATGCAATACCAAATCAGGAAGCTACAACAGTAGCTTTGGCTATTAGTGATTTCTTCTTCAGATTTGGTATGCCATATGAACTGCATTCAGATCAAGGCCGTAACTTTGAATCAGCTGTGTTCCATGAATGCTGCAAGTTGTTTGGCATACGAAAGACCAGAACAATGCCACTTCACCCACAGTCTGATGGGATGATAGAAAAGTACACCTGGACAATGGGACAAGAATTGGCAAAGTTTTGCAATAGCCGCAAAGATGACTGAGATGTCATACTCCCTCCACTGTTGATGGTCTATAGAACA